GTCCGAACACTGCCACCCCCATGTTCCAACCAAGGAGAATTCTCCTTTATCTCTTCCCCATCCGTAAGAACAAGCTAGTGCACCTGCTGTCATGTTTCCGGCGGTAGCATTGCTCTCTTTCTTTTTCTGCCAGTTGCACCACTGTTGCTTTTCTGAATTGCTTGAGGAATGGTGAAGGTGATGTTTAGCTGCTTGTAAAACTTTTCTTAAAGGAACTTGGTCTGAAAAACACGTATATATACGTTACCCTCCACAGCCTAAAGTATCAGGAAGAGGACACTACCACTGTGATTGGTAATCCTGTGCCCTGGGTTTTCTTATGGAACCTTATCATGTCAAGAAAACTTGGTCAATGTGGAAAAATTTTTTTCCACATAGCCCATTGGGGTGGGACCCAGCTTAGTTATCAGAGTAGAGTGAATCCTGCCCATTCTAGAGACTGCCCATTATTCAACACAATACTGACCTTTCTTTGATAACTGGCTTTCCAATGCAGACAGTCTCCAGAGAGAGTTCGTTGTATTTTCTTTTAGAGGGAGATTATAATTTAAAAAGAGCCTTTTTTTAAAAAAAAAAAATAGATTAAAAACTCCCCCTGCATTTCCTGTATGTGCCTTTGGAGCATATTCTGGGTATAGAGCAAGAAAAATCTCTTATATTTTGGGACCAAGTTACAGGAAACAAATCATGAGAGGTGAGTGGACTCTAAAAGCTTGCCAAATAAAGGTGTTTATTTGAGGGAATATTGAAGAATCAGCATAGATGCTTTTAAAATCGTTATACTTTTTAAATATTTCAAAAGAGGGCTTGAGAAAGCAATCAGTATTCACATTTTCTTCAATATTCTCATTCTCAAATATTTAAATATTGTTGAACAGATCTGCGGATTATTATTTTTAAAGTTATTGTCAGGTTTTCTAGTGTCCTCCCTTATCAGGAAAAATGACACTTATCCCATTTAAAAAACGGAGATTACCGGTTTACGGCCAGTTTAACACACTGCAGCATTGGGTATCATTAAGAACTAGAAAATGCCCTCCCCTCAGACTTGTGTGAGTTTGTCCTGAAGCCTTGAGTACAGTTGGAGGCAGTGGATGGGCCGAGGCGGCTTGTGCCTGATCCCACAGTGGGAATCCAGGCGGGCCTTGGCCTGCTGATCAGAAACTGTTCCCCTGTTTATGTGTCACCGGTGAAGAGCTGGTCCGGAGAGGCTGCGGCCCTGCCAGCTTCCCCAGAGCAGACAGGAGAGAAGGATGATGAGTGTTTTTCTTTAAAAAGATGGAGAAGCGAAGCCAGTTTCTGGGCTGGGCGATAAGTGGAAATCCATAAGTCTAGCGGTGCTGATCTGAAGTTCTCATGGTTTGTGCCATGAGAATGTGTGCATGTAGAAGAGTTTTAGAAAGTCTGTACCAGAAATGCTTCCCTGGAGGGCGATATTCATGAAGGCATTTCCAGTTCCTGGGGTGACGTACACTCAGCCCTCTTGATACAGATGAATGGCAGGGAGGAGGACATGGGGCAGGGGCAGGAGAATAGGGGGGAGGGGTGGGGAGAGGTGTAAATCATTATCAAAGAGGTGAAGGATTCGAGAGCTATTAACTGAAAATATAACCGAATGCTTAAAAAAAAAAATGCTGGGCGATTTCTAGAAATAGGAAATATAGTTTGTAAAAAAAGAATCAGAAGCTTCCATACTTTTAGGATCTGCCTGACCTTTTTCTAATCTCTTCAGACTTCTTTTCACCTATTGCCTTAATACCCAGGTGCTTTCTGGAAAGGCCCCCCTCACTTTATTTACCCAGAGGCCCTTGCTGAAAGAAATTCCTTTGTTGTCAATTTGTCACAGAGTGGGGGGAAAAGAAAATTCCCAAGGGTTAATAAGTTCGCAGAGTAGGAATGAGCTGTCAGTCACAATTTCTCCTTGCCCAGGACTGTGCCTTCAGAGCGGGCGGCAGGCTGCATGATGGGAGCAGGCTGTGTACGTCTAGTGGACTCATTTTATCTAACCACGCAACTGTGCTGGCTTGCTTTGGAAAATGGGCTACTTCAATGAAAATTGCTTACATGTAGGTCTAATAGCTGTCACCTTAGACTCAGCTCTTCCCTCTTGATTGAAGTTGGGCCCAGTGTGAGCACCGGTTAGCACCGTGTTTATCACATGTTGGTGCCACATCAGAGAGAATATCAATGACTCCTTAAGCTGCCAAATTCTACCGAACACCCTCATCATTCTACTTCATTAGTTGCTGAGTGGCAAATGAGTTACACATTTCTGTTTGGACCATGTCACCTATACATTCCAAAGCCTCGAGTAGATGATTCTTCCCCAAGGATGCAGCTCAAGCGAGCAAAATCGCACTGGAGAGTGTTAGGCCTTTTCCTGCCTCAGCATTGCTGATAGATTCCCAGAACCGGCTTTTGTCCTCGCTGGCTTATTGGTCTAACAGTGTACACTCGTCACCCTGCCTTTCTTAGGCCCCAGCAAACCAGTTGCAGCAGCTGCTCCAGACGTGGAAATGGGCCACCCGAATTCAGCCGGTAGTAAAACGTATCTTGGGGCTGTCTGGGTGAATGAGGCAGGCTTCCCCCCAACTACCTGGGCCTGACCCGGGGCTGTCCCCTCCTCAGCCTAGGAACACGGGTTGTTGTGACGCTTGTGTTCAGTGTCGTTTTCTGAGCCCCGTCTCCGATGTGGTCCATTGGGAATTATCCCAGACGGCTGTCCTTGAAACGGGTCCTGCCTTCTTGACAGGTGGCGTCTATCCTGAAGCCCTCCTCTGTTCGCTCATGCTTCCAGCGGCTCAGTCCTCTGAAGAGCAGCGTCCCGGGGGGGGGGGGTGCACCAGGGCAGCAGCTTTTGACCTTTGGAGAGTGGAAGTGCTTGTACTCGAGCGTGATCACCCTTATTTTCTCCCTCACAATGTGGCACTGGGTCTTTTATCTGCTGCTGGATGCTGTCCAGGGCCTAATTGGTACTGTTTCTCTCCTCCCCCCTCCTCTTCAAGCTAGCCTTCTGCTTTTTCTTCTTGGCTCCAACTCTTTCAATGACAAGGGGAATGCTTTCTCTGTTCCACGCCCCTGCAAATGCAAAGCCCAGCGCCTTCTCACTTAACACTGCCTCACCTGATCTCGCGCACAGCGTGAGAGCTGAAGGTAAGCCCCCAAATTCTACCAGATGATGGCTGGTGGACAAAAAAAGCGTGACTCGCCAACAGCAACTCACAAATGCATGGACTGTTTTCATCTCCAGACAGACTGCCAGAATTTCTCTTTTCTAATTCCTATTTGTAGCGATAACATTTTAATTTTTGTGATTCAAGAAAAAAAAGAAAAAAAAGAATAGTGTAGTACCGTGAAGCAATTGCAGTTCTCATTGTTGTCACTATTTCTATTTCACGAGTTTCAATTCTTTCTAAATCATTGTATTCAGTTGTGCACTGGTGTCAATAAAATTGGCATTTGTGAAGCAATTTCTGGCCTTTTTTCTCTGGGTTTTACTGGGTCTGGTGGTGTGTGGGGTGATGGGGTCTTTGTCTAACACCTGGATTTCATTTCAATGATTGCAAAATAAAATGCAAGGATTTAAATGCAAGGGTTTTTTTTCAATGGGAACTTCCTGATTCTGCTTTTCCTCATGTTTTCTAATCTTGTTCTTCAGAGAGCATTGTACTGACCAGTAGGTAGTGGGCAGGATGCATGCGTTTTTCGTTGTTTTTCTGGGTGTGGCAGCTTCTCACCCATGTGTCGGTGACACAGCTAGCTGACCACCCTGGGACTGGGCGGGGGCTGGTGGTGGTTTCTCCATGGTTGGCTCAGACTGGGATCAAGTTCACTACCCTATTTCATTCTAGCCTGTCCTATCTTATAACTTCAAAATGGATATGACAATCAGAGGGAGAGGATAGATGTAAAAAAAAAAAAAAAAAAAGCTGGAGGGAGGGGGATTACGCCCAGAAAATGGCACTTCACGATTTTCTTCAAGATCCGTGATAGCGTGAGGCGTAACAATGAACTGAAACTGCATGTTGGAAAATGGAGAAATCATTGACATTGTCTTTCCTTATAATGGCAACAGGCAAGACTGCTGGCTGCTTTAACTCTGTTTGCCCTCATACTAGTTCTAGTAAATCCACATTAGGTAAGAACACAGAGGTTAGAGGTACGTGTGAAACATCCTGTTTGGCTTCCATGGTTTGAGGGGTTGATCATTGCAAGATTCTGTTGGCAAGGAGTTTCCTGTACGCGTCATCTCCTTTGGCTGACGCACAGTGGATAATTACACACTTCTGCATTGTTTCATATGGCCTCCTTTTCAGAGCAATCATTAATCACCTGTCAATTTTTGACTTATAAAAGGGTCTTGGGATAATGTAATGACCTCCAGCTTTGCATTTTTAAGCGACCACCTTGGCGTGTAAATGTGATGCTAGTGTTTCTGTCCCAAACAGTGAGAGAGACATGGAGTGACACCACCAGGTATACCGAGCTTGTGTCTGTTCTCTGTCGACGGGGGAGGTAGCCGCTTTACCTTTCTTTAGTGGTGGCCCTTTGCTACGAGATGTAGTCTGTCCTCGCTGCTCCAGTCGTCACGTCTCCTATTAGCATAGCTCTATCCCCTAGTCATTTCCCACGTCTCCTTGTAATGTAGACGCTGTCTTTCTTGAGTAATTCTTAGAAGCTAAGGCAATAGTGAGGGGATGATTCTATGTGGGGATACACTATATTTTTAAACTGCTGTGATTCTCTAAGCAGAGTTCTCGACCTTATCATTCATTATATAATATAACTGAGGCTCCATTGAATTACTCATACTATGCTATCTCTGTTAAGGTAGCTACCACTTAGAAAAAAAAAAAAAAAGTAGAAAGTAATGAAGCCATGAAGTTTACCCTTGAGTAGTCCAGGTTCTAAAGATTTGAAAAGGTGAGATTATAAGTAGAAATCAGGTCCCAGAGGAATTACTTTTTTTTTTTTTTTTAATACTTCTCATCCCCAAACAGGCTCCCTGACTGGTAGCCCTCACCTTTCAGAGCTGTCCATCAACTCGCAGGGAGGAGCGGTTCCCGCCAGCGTGATCTTGTCTCCCAACCTGAGCCCCGACACCAAGCAGGCCTCCCCCTTGGTCAGCCCGCTGCTGAACGACCAGCCGTGCCCACGGACCGACGAGGAGGAGGAAGGCCGGAGAAAGGTGGGGGGATTCGTGCACGTGAGCATGTTACTCTTTTTCGAAAGTGTGGTGGTATGCATAACGTAACACTGGCCATTTCGCCATTGTTAAGGTTAGAGTTCAGTGACATGAAGTACATTTTTTAAAAGATATATTTTATTGATTTTTTACAGAGAGGAAGGGAGAAAGATAGAAACATCGATGAGAGAGTCATCGATCAGCTGCCTCTTGCACGCCCCCTACCGGGGATGTGCACGCAACCAAGGTACATGCCCTTGACCGGAATCGAACCCGGGGCCCTTCAGTCCGCAGACCGACGCTCTATCCATTGAGCCAAACCGGTTTCAGCTGAAGTATATTTTTTAATGTTTTTATTTTGTTAATCCTTACCCGAGATATGATTCTATTGATCACATAACTGAGGCTCCTTTGAATTACTCATATTATTATGATACTCATATTATTATGCTATCGCAATTAAGGCAGCTGCCACTTAGAAAAAAAGAGTAGAAAATAAGGAAGCACATTTAAGTGTGCGCGTTAAGCTTTTAGAGCGTGTGGAAGGGAGAGATTGAGAGAAGCATTGTTTGGCTACCTCCTGCTCGCGCCCTAACCAGGGCCATAGCCTGCGACCTCGCTTCACCAGAATTGAACCTGGGGATCTCCAGTCTGCAGGCCGAGGCTCTATCCACTGGGCCAAACCGGCTACGGTGACATTAAGTAGCATTTGCATTATTGTATAACCATCAACACTATTTATTTCCAGAACTTTGTCATCATAACTTTGTACTGTAACTCTGTACCTATTGAACAATAATTCTCCACCCCCAGCCTCCAGAAACCACTATTCTGCTTTCTGTCTCTGTGGATTTCACTGCTCTAGGAACCTCATATACTAAGTGGAATCCTAAAGTTCTTATCCCTTTGTGGTTGGTTAATTTCACTCAGCAGAATATCCTCAAGGTTCATCCATGTTGTAGCACATGTTGCACTTTTCTTCATTTTTAAGGTTGAATAATATTCCAGTGCATGGATGTACCCCATTTTGCGTGTCCATTCATGTGTTGGTGGAGAGTTGGGTGATTTTCCAACTGCAGATACTGCTGCCAGGAACATGGTGGGCCAGTATCTTGCATATCCTAGGTGGGCTCCTGTGGTGCAAGCAAGGTGACTAACACTAATGGATTTCTTTTTACTTATTGTTTAAAGAGAAAATAGACTCTAGCCGAATTGGTTAGAGCAATAGTCGGCAAACTCATTAGTCAACAGAGCGGCAAGCCAATCACTGGGTTTTGAGTGTCATCTCAATATGCCAAGTTTGCCAACCACTGGGTTAGAGTGTCATTCTCAATATGCCTAGGTTGTGGGTTCGATCCCCGGTCAGGGCACATCAAGAACCAACCAATGAATGCATAAGTAAGAGCAACAACAAATCCCTCTCATAAGTAAGAGCAACATCAAATGTCTCTCTAGTCAATTTTTAAAAAGAAATTAAGAGAAAGTAAAAACAATGATGGGCCTGCTCAAGAGTGGTGCCGCCTGCCCACCTAACCGGCGGATTCCAGAGGATGGAGTCACACTGGTGTCCCCAGCTGCCTGCACCCTTGTCCCTTTGTCCCAGCCACCCTCTGCGTGGCTTCTATTTTCTGAACACCAGCCCCACCGGCCACAGGACCCAGGACAAAGGCCATTGTGGTTTCTGTTTCATTTATTTCCTTGAAGATTGCATCACTAGGCCATTTTACTCATTAATTAGCTTTTCAGATGTCCAATTGTGGACGAATAGTCCTCCTTGGTGTAGCCTACCCATTCGAGGCCTTTCCCTGAGGGTAATATTCGCATGGGAACATAAATTCCTAGACTGTTTTCTCATCATGGAAATCCACTCTCTTACTAGCCATAGTTCCTCTCACACAAAAAAGAATGCATATGAGTTTATTTACACTTGATCCTAGCTAACAAAAGATTATAAGTTAGCCATGTTCCATTTTCTTATAGTCAAGATATTCTTAGACACTCATACTAAAAAATGATGATGTCTTGTTTCTTTTTATGGACTTGGCAGCGATTCCCAACTGACAAAGCATACTTCATCGCTAAGGAAGTGTCTACCACGGAGCGAACATATCTGAAGGACCTTGAAGTCATCACCTCGGTATGTGTAGCATTTCCCCTAAAGCATCAGATTACATCATTTATCTCCATGAATACCCAGCTTTAGGAGAGAAGCTGGATCTAATTAAATGTTGGATTGTCTAGATTACAGAAATTAAGATAGTAATAATATAATTAATTTGGAATGCGCTCTACAAAAAGTTTTATAGTTGTGATTTTTTTTTTTCAAGTGTGGAGGCAGGATGTGTCTAAAGTGGAGAAAATGGAAACTAAACATTTTACTGTCTGCATGCACTGATGCAGAACATTGTGCGTATTTTGCCCGTTGTCAGATGTGGATATTTATTTATTTTTGCTTGAAGGAGACCTCACAGGGAATAGAAGCCTCGTTTTTATCTTCCATAATAAATTGAGCCATGTCAGCAAAATCTGCCAGAAGTCTGTCTTTTATTATTTTAATCGGTTCTGGCCAGCCCTGGAAACAAATGTAAAGCCGTGCAGATGTCTTTGTGACCCCTGAGTGCGGGAGATGAGCTGGCCTTCTGGAGGTCAGCGGGGTCACTGGGCGTGTGTGCATCCTCCGGGGCGTCCTGCGTGGTCACTGGCCTTGGCAGGAGCTCAGGAGACATCCTGGGACCCAGCCCGGCCGCACCCCCGCAGCATGACTGACACTGTGAAGGCAGCGGCTTTATCTCCCTGGTTCAGCCACCTTCGTGCTTAGAATTTTTACAAAGGAGAGGAGATGGAAGTTCCTGAAGGACTGAGCCAGGGCGGGTCGGTGCTGTAAACCAGGATTGCCCAGCGAGCTGGCTCGATGGAGGTTTTGATTTGAGGAGCTGCCCGTTTCAGAGATCTGTCCTGGCCTCGGCAGTTTTTTCCGGTAACCAGTCGCGGGAAGCAGGAATGAAGAGATGAGTGCTTCTCATTCCATTGGATGAAGGGGGACAAGCAGTGAGGCCTGGAAGTCCCTGGGGCCCCTGAGAGGGTGCAGACCCAGTAGGGAGGACTCTGTGCTCCAGGCTCAGGTGGCTGCGGCATCACTTCCGAATTGCAGACTCTCGTTCATCTCTTCACTTCTAAGTGTGGCCTCCTTTTCTTCCCAGTGGTTTCAGAGCGCAGTGAGCAAGGAGGACTCCATGCCCGAAACACTGAAAAGTCTCATATTCCCGAACTTTGAACCTTTGCACAAATTTCATACAAATTTTCTCAAGGAAATCGAGCAACGACTAGCCCTCTGGTGAGTACAGTTATGTTTAACAATTATATCTCCCCCCCCCCACCCCCACCCCACACACACACCTTTCCTCTTGCTCTTTCCATTGTTGCTTCTATGTTGTTCCTTTTAAGCAGCCGTCATGAGAACAGGTAAGAGCAAGAAACTGGCTTAAGACAAGCCAACCTTAAAACAATGTCCAGTAAAGTTCTGCATGTATTTAGATTTCATCCTGAATCTTTCCCCCTTAATTTATAATTCTTCAAAATGCATGTTTTTGTATGATAATTAAATGAATGTCATGAAGTAAAGGTAGTAGTTACTTCTGGGAGAAACTTTTTGAAGTGTTGGTAATATTTCGCTGGTGCTTGCTTTATAGTTATAGTTAAGTGTCTGTATACTGTATCTCATGATGCAGTTTTCAGTATTATATTTCACTGTTTAAAAAATGCTTTAAAAGATACAGAGTCCTATGCAACACACACACACACACACACCCACACACACACCTTGAATCCCATTTCTAGGAGTTTATATTAAGGATTTTAATATGTGGAATGGCATGACAAAGATCTTTGTGGCAGGATTAAAAGATTAGAAATAGCCCTGGCCAGCGTGCTCAATTGGTTGGGAATCAAACCTGCAACCCTTCGATTGCAGGTTTGATTCCCAGTCAGGGCACAAGCCCACGTTGTGAGCTCAATGCCCAGGTTGTGGGCTCGATCCCCCGTAGGGGGTGTGCAGGAGTCAGCCAATTGATGTGTCCTTTTCGTACTGATGTTTCTCTCTCCCTCGCCCTTCCTCTCTGTCTAATAATCAATAAAACAATTTTTTAAAAGATTAGAAATGACCTAAATGTCCGTGAATAGCAGATTGGCTATAAATAATGTTACCTCTGTTTATGGAACCAAGTAAACATTAATCTGGGAGGAGAGTGTCAGCGGGAAAGCAGGAAGGACTATGTATTGTAGAATGCAAAATCTGAGGCATCCTTACCTCAACTAGAACCTTTTTGAGAACAATTCTTCTGGGGTTTGTTAACACAGTTATATGTAGACTCAGAGAGGGTTGACGGTTTAACTAAACACGCATTTAAAAAAGGCCAGGAGAAAAGTAGCAAAAGGCTTCCTCTGAGTTTTTGGCAGAAATGGGACCCACTATTTGGGGGAAAGTGGTTTCTAGGACATTAGACTGTAGAACCTGAAGGAGCCGGGATGATTCTCTTTCCCAGGTGATCTCAGGTCATGGGTTCAAGCATCAGCTTGGCCGGTTAACAGAGCTGCTTCCTCTGCTATGAAGTGAAGGTGCTCAGGGGTCCAGCTTTGTCTGTTCTTTGTACCAAGAGGTAATTACTGCCCATTTCTCTTTCCTCTGATGGAAGGGTGAGAGGCTGCACTAAGATACCTCAGGGCGGAGGGTACAGCCAGGATGAGAAATAACAGCACAGCGCCAGCCTCCCTGAGCGTGGGGAGGGACAGGAAGTGCCACTGTAGGGTCTTACTCTTGGTGCTGTGAGTAGAAGAGACAGACCACTTTTCAAAATTAACCAAAAATTTAAAAAAATCAACATCATCCAACTTTAGCTTACCTTCCCAAGTTAGTCTCCCTGGAAACTCCTGGTTGTGACTTGCCCTGTGGCCTCATCATTCCTACGGAGTGGAATGATGCTATCACAATGGAGGCAAAGACTTCACAGCTCGGGAGAAACCTGTACACAGTTGGTTTGCCGGCCAGTGAGACGTATGCCGACAAAGTCTTCACCTTCCCAGGGTTCAGAGCATCCTTGTTGGGTGTGTTTTTTGTTTGTTTGTTTATTTTTTTTTAATATATTTTATTAATTCTTTACAGAGAGGAAGGGAGAGAGATAGAGAGTTAGAAACATCAATCAGCTGTCTCCTACACACACCCTACTGAGGAAGTGCCCACAACCAAGGTACATGCCCTTGATCGGAATCGAACCCATGACCCTTCAGTCTGCAGGCCGACACTCTACCCACTGAGCCAAACTGGTTTTGGCTATTGTTGTTGTTTTTAAAAAATTTTTTCAAACACTTACAATTTTCACTTTAAATGCAAAATAGCGGATAAAAAGAAAAAAATATTGAAAAACATCATCCTGACTCTTTGCCCCACATACAGTCATCAGCTTTTGATATTTGCTTTTAGGTAAATAGGTGAAAAAATAAGCACAAACTTGAAACTATTCTTTTGCTCCAAAAGAAACAAAGTTGAGGGATTATGCTTAACAGATGTGTGATCTCCATCCAAAAATGGTTTCTCTGCTAATCCACAGCCTTGCCACATACTACACTCACTCCTTCCTTCTCAAGCAGGTCTTCGTTTGAGCATATGTTCTTGCAACTGACTGTGTTCCTTAATACTCATTAAGGTTGCAAAATAATATTGAATGTTGGCTGTAGTTTTAAAAAATAAAAATTAGCAAATAAAAAAATCATTAAGGTTGCTATAGAAACGCACGGGGCTAGCACCAGACCACACAGCGGATACGATGCAGGGAGGACCTTTAGATGATGGATGCTCGGGAACATCTGGTGCTGACCCGAGCCAGCTGGCCTCCCAGCACAGCCCGCTGCCTGCATGGGACAGCTGGCTCCTGCTCATGCTCTGAAGGTCCAGCAGGGGCCTCCACTTCTCCAAATTACAATAAATGTCTCACCAACTCCACCTGGAGCTGGACTCCTCCCCAACCAAGTCAGCCTTAGAGGAGGCGCTACACTCAGCACCAAAGCAGCAGGGCAAGAGACTCCTGACCATCCTGCAAGAAACCCACAAACCATGATCACTCCTAGCCTGCTCCCCTGGGCTGGCTCTGTGCACCACCAGATCCCAACAGCCGATTCCTCACCTTGTAACGGTGTTTCCATCCCCTACCCCCACCTCCCACCACCCCCAGGAGAACAGGGAAAGAGAGACAATGGGAGCCCAAGTTTGGCATGCAAACCCCAAGGACTTGGCTTCTTCAGCGTTATCAGCAGCTTTGTAGACACAGCCAATGCTAGTCCCTTGACACGTGGAAGAAAATATTTCATTAATGCTGCAAGAACTAATGACCACTTTCATTTAGACCTTGAACCAGCATATCTTTAATGTTCCCAACCCAGCAGGATAAGTTGTCATGCCTAATATAAATTGTCACCATCCCAACATTGTGATCTGAATGTATGGCGCATTGCTGCAGGTGTTAGGTGACTGGCATCATTGTTGAGGATAAAAGGCAGCACATGAGCTGCAGAAACACAGGTAAGAGTGACCTGAGAGGTTGAAACACATGGTCACTGATCACAGCTTCAAGGACAGAGAAAGCTTAGGGTATATATACCTATGTGCACTGTGGGCTCAGAGCTGATGTCCCTATGGCATGTTTCATCCACAAGGCAGTTGACTTAAGTAATGTTGGGGAAGTCACACATAGGACACAGCATCAGTTGGCATTACCCGGCAGCCCAGCATGGTGGCATTCACTGGCTCTTGCCACCAGAGAGAACGTTGGAGAGCTGTATTTCATTCTGGAAGTAAATGCCACACTTTTGGATTTATCTGTGACTGTAAATCTTTAGCATCTGGACCTTGTCTGTGAAAGAACATCAGTTGCTTAAAAGCCAGCTGCTGACATTTGAGTCTTTCAGTAGAGTCTCTTTCAAAGACCTGTAATTTTATTCATGTTTTATATGAAAATACCAGAAAGCATATAAAAGACTCAAAGCCAGAGGGAGAGCAGATCGTCCATGTGCAGCTCAGTTGACATGACCTTCGGTAGCCTTGCAAGAGTGGACTCAAACCAAATTGATGACATGTCTCAGGAATAAATGTAAAAGTCTGTGATTAAGTTCAACTAATCAATTCTTCAATGCAGGATGAGGAAGACATGGCTTGACAGGGATTCAGGGGAAAAGGCTGAATGGGTTTAGTGTGAGCAGGTAGGATAACATGGAGATAAGCCAGTGTCTGTGTCTGTAGCTGTCAACATTGGCTTCTCTTAAAATTCACCTGGAAGCTTAAAGAATCGTGCTATCCGGGCAGAACCCCAGATCAGTTATATGAGAATCCCTGAGAAGTGAGACCTAAGCGTCAGTAGTGACTAAAGCTTCCTGGGTAATTCCCACATGTAGCCAAGGTCACAACCCTCTACCCTAGACTGCCATACTTGGAAGAGACCAGAGTATGAAAGACAATTTCCCCTTGAAACGTCAAGGCTCAGAGCTCCTTCAGAGTACTCTGCCCAGTTCTGAGTTTCACATTTGAAATGGAATAATAAGAGAATGCATTTATTTATTTATTTTAAATGATTGTTGGCTTTGTATGCATATATGGATGGTCCATGGACACAGACAGTGGTGCCGTGAGGGCCTGGGGTGGGGGGAGCGTGGATGGGCTGGAGGAGGGCCAATGGGGAGGAAAAGGGGACATATGTATTAGTTTCAACAATAAAGAATTATTTTTAAAAAATGATTGTTGGAACTTATGAGCATTTGGTCTAGAAGAGAGAAGTTTTTAGAAAATATGATGGACTCTCTTCAGGATGATCATATGAAAAAAGGAGTACATGTCTTCTTAGTTGTCCCAGAGGGCAACATGTAAACAAAGGATTGAATTTCCGAAGAGGTGCGTTGTGTCTGAGTACAGGAGAGGGCTTCCTAACACCACGGGCTGCTTAGCATTGAGGAGCTGCCTCAACAGGTGATAAGCTCCCCATTGGGGCTCCTTGAGCAGAGCTTGACTGTTTGCAGGTATTTATTGGGTGAACCCCCAAACCTGGCCGTGCATCAGGGTCACCTGGGGATGGGGGAGGGGAAGTTTGGGGAAAACGCTGATTTTCAGGCTGATCCAGCCCTCCTCAATCAGATCACTGAGGGGAGAGACAGGTACTTATTTCTTAAAGTGCTTCTGAGATAACTGTGATGACTACCTTTTCTGGAACCACTGATGTGGTGAGCTTCCAACAAATCTGTGATCCTTTGATTTACCTTTTGCTTATAACTTTTGTTGCTTTTTTCTTCACACAA